CATAGCCAGAATCACGGTTCTTGCACTTTGGAACAGTTATCAAGTAAAACTTGGGAATTATTTATTTACAAAGTTGGCTCCAGGTAACTAGAAAAACAAAGACATGAGTTATAACACTATGGTTGATTTTAATATTTCAGTGTCTATTCCAGTCATCATCAGAATATAAAACTTATTAATAAGCATCTATTGATTTATTATCTGTCTCGCTACAAAAATTCTTAGAATAGAAGAAATGATAGCAAACTTGCAGTTTTTATGAGTATTTATTTATTTTAATTTCAGCAATTTTCCCTCACAGCTGCTGTCCATTGATGGACTCTGAGATCAAAGTGATAGGAGTTCAAATCTCACCTAGTGCTTATTTTTTTTTTAATTTCAATATATTCTGTTTATTAATGGCTCTAGACTGGCTGTTTGAGTTGGTGTGATGAAAAGAACTGAAATTAAGAAGGAAGTCAAAAAATTAATAATGGGTAGTAATGCTACATCTGAAAATAAAATAATAGTTTGAATAGTTGCAATGAAAAACAATTAAAATTAAAATGAAAGGAATACTAATCTAAAAATAATAATTATTGACAATGCTTCATCTGATAATAACATAATAATAGAATGATGGTGTGAATAACTGCAATAAAAAGCAACTGAGAATAAGATGTAAGAAATACTAACCAAAAATTCATAATGGCTCACAATATCATACTAGAAAAGCAACTAAAATTAAGATGGAAGAAATACTAGTCAAAAATTAATAATGTCTGATAATGTTTCATCTAATACTAAAATAATAATAGAATAGTTGCAATGAAAAACAATTGAAAATAAGATGAAAGAAATACTAGATAAAAATTAATAGTGGCTGACAATGCTTCAGCGACAAAGCAGTATTATTTCAAATAATTACCATGTTTCAAACAAGGAAATTTGAAACAGAATGTTTACACTCATCTATAATTTGCCACAGACTCTTGCTTTAGCGAACATTGATTATATAAATTATATGTTATTTAAGTTTAATGTTTTTTTTCTCTCCCTACATATTTGTATTTGTACATAATTACATATATTACTTTGAATAAAATTTGTATTTGGGCAGTGAATATATTTTTATTTATATATTTGACATGTAATATTATAAATTTATTGATCATTAAAGTTTTCTTTTAGGAATGTTTATATCAATTTCTATCTTTTATTTAAAAATTTGTTCTTTTCATTTATTTCAATACATATTCTGAGAGAAGTGTGCTTAGTTCCTATGAAATATTATTTTTAAAAAATTGCCACCATTTATAATCAATAAGAAGTAGATGTCATGTGATCAACAGTGCAGGCATCTTATCTACCATTGATAGAATAGCATCTGTCAGCACCAGACATGATTGTACACACTGTCAGGTGACCATGTGATAGTGGGAAGTGGCTTAAGCATGAACACTTAGAAATGGTCTCAGAAACGATCACAAAAGACTAATTCTGGAGGGTGGAGAATTGTTGAAAATTTGAGAAGCCTTAGAAAAGAGTAAACAGACATCAATATGATAAGAAAAACAATTTCTCACTCAAAACAGGATTAAAGAGAAAGAGAAAAAAAAAAAAACAGGAAACAAATGAGAGAAAAAAAACTATGTTATTTTGCCGACTCTTTTTTTGACTAATGAGAAGAAAGGACAAGTAAAACTCATTCAACTATATTTCATGCCAAACTTATTTAGTGACAATTAAAAGCAATTACTATGTATTTCAGGTGGAAGTAGTTGATAAAAATAAACCAAAGAAGTAGAAAAAAATGAAAATTGAATTAAAAAACATTACTAAAAACTATATGTGAAGTCTGCGGTTTGTATCAGAGAAAAGAAGAATTAGAAGCTTTGGGATTAGACCACCTCA